ACTGGTTTGGACTGGTTTGGACTGGTTTGGACTGGGAGGGGTTCGGGGGGCGCCGGGAGGGGATTTTGGGGGGATATAGGGGGGATTTTGGGGTGGTGAAAGGGTTAAAAATGGGGAGAAATGGGGATTTGGGGTTACTGGTTTGTACTGGTTTGGGACTGGGGGTTACTGGTTTGTACTGGGAGGGAACTGGGACAAACTGGGGGGGATTTGAGGGCACTGCGAGGGGATGAAAGGGTTAAAAATGGGGGGGAAAGGGGATTTTTATACTGCTTTATACTGGTCTGTACTGGTGTATACTGGTTCATACTGGTCCATACTGGTCCATACCGGTCCATACTGGTCCATACTGGTTTATACTGGTCCATACTGGTTCGTACTGGTCCATATTGGTCCATACCGGTCCATACTGGTCCATACTGGTCTATACTGGTCTATACTGGTTTATACTGGTCCATACTGGTTCGTACTGGTCCATATTGGTCCGTACTGGTCCGTACTGGTCCATACTGGTCCATACTGGTCCATACGTCCATACTGGTTTTTCCCCTCCCCCACCAGAACCAGCACCCGAACCCCCAGTTCTTCACCCAGATCTTACTGGGAGAGGATGAGGTGAGACTGCTTTATACTGGTTTATACTGGTTTCTACTGGTTTCTACTGGTTTATACTGGGAGGAGACAAAGTCAGACCGGTTTGAACTGGTTTTTGCTGGTTCGAACTGGTTTAGACTGGGAGGGAACTGGGAGGTTCCAAACTGCTCTGAACTGGTTTATACTGGTTTAAACTGGTTTGTACTGGGAAGGAACTGGGAGGAAACTGGGAGGGCACTGGGGATTACTGGTTTATACTGGTTTTAACTGGTTTAAACTGGTTTAGACTGGGAGGGCACTGGGAGGGCACTGGCTTATACTGGGAGGGCACGGGGAGATCCCAAACTGGTCCAAACTGGTTTTGCTTGGCGCCCCCCAGTGGCCGCTGGCGTCGGACGCGCTGCCTGCGGTGGGCGAAGTCCTCCCGGCCGGTAGGGGGCGCTCTAACGCGCGGGGGAGCAGTGGAGTTGGGGGGATTTTTTTGGGGGAATTTGGGGATTTTTGGGGATGGATTTGGCGGAATTTTGGGAGATTTTTGGGGGGAATTTTGGGAGTTTTTTGGGATTTTTGGGGGAAAATTGGGGAATTTTGGACAATTTTGGATAAGATTTTTGGGGAATTTTTGGGGAATTTGGGGGGATTTTAGGAAAATTATTTGGGGAATTTTGGGGGGATTGGGGGGGATTTTTGGGAGGATTTTGAAGAATTTTTGGGGGAATTTTTTGGGAATTTTAAGGGAATTTGGGGGGATTTTAGGGAAAATATTTGGGGAATTTTTGGGGGATTTTTTGGAGGGATTTTGGGGAATTTTTGGGGGAGTTTTGTGTATTTTTGTTTGGGGGGATTGGGGGGGATTTTTGGGAGGATTTTGAAGAATTTTTGGGGGAATTTTTTGGGAATTTTAAGGGAATTTGGGGGGATTTTAGGGAAAATATTTGGGGAATTTTTGGGGGATTTTTTGGAGGGATTTTGGGGAATTTTTGGGGGAATTTTGTGTATTTTTAGGAATTTTGGGGTTAATTTTTGGGAAAATTTTGAGGGGACTTTGGGGGGGGATTTGAAAGAATTTTTGGGGATTTTTGGGTGGATTTTGGGAAAATTCGAGTGAATTTTTTGGGGATTTTGTGAAATTTTTTAGGGAATTTTGAGGGGATTTTGGGGTGAATACTTAAAGAACTTTTGGGGGGAATTTGGGGGAGAAATGCAAAATTTGAGTGGGAAAATGGAATTTTTTGGAGAAAAAGGGAATTTGGGGCAAAATTTGAATTTTTGGTGAAAAAAATCGTGATTTGGGGAAAAAATTTGGAAGTTTTTAATTAAAAAAATGCAAATTTTGATTGAAAAAATAGAATTTTTGGGGGACAAAAATTGGAATTTTAGGGGAAAATTGTGGGAATGTTTGGGATAAAAAAGAAATTTTTGGGTAAAATGGGAATTTTTCGTGGAAAAGTTGGAATTTAGGGTGAAAATTAGAATTTTTGGGGAAAAAAATTGACTTTTTTGTGAAAAAATGGGGAATTTTTGGTGGGAAAGTGGGAATTTTGGGGGGAAATGCCAAATTTGGGGTGAAAAATGGGAATTTTAGGGGAAAATTTGAATTTTTGGTGCAAAAATTGTTATTTTTGGAACAGGGGAAAATGGGAATTTGGGGAGGAGAATTAGGAAATTTTTGGGGGGAAAAAGTGGGAATTTTTGGGGGAAAAGGGAATTTTTTTTGGGAAGAAATGGAAATTTTTGGGGAAAATATTTGAATTTTTGGGAAAGGAACAAATGGGAATTTGGGGAGAAGAATTGGGAAATTTTTGGGGAGAAAAATGCAAAATTTGAGGGAGAAAATTTCGAATTTTTGGGGAAAAAATGGAAATTTTTGCGGAGCAAGAAATGGGAAATTTTGGGGGGGGAAGTGGGAATTTTAGGAAAAAAATGAATTTTTTTTTGAAGAAATGGAAATTTTTGGGGGAAAAATTGGAATGTTTAGGAAGAAAAAATTTGGGAAATTTTTTGGGGAAAAAATGCAAAATTTGGTGGAAAAAAATTGGATTTTTTGGGGGGAAAAACCGGAATTTTTTGGGAAAAAGAAGGAATTTTTTGGGTGGAAAAAAGGGAGTTTTTTGAGAAAAAGGGAAATTTTGGGGTAAAAAAAGGGAGATTTTTGAGGAAAAAAAATAATTTTTTGGGAAAAAAAGGAGAATTTTTTGGGTAAAAAAAAGATTTTTGAGGAAAAGAAAATTAATTTTTGGGGAAAAAAGGAATTTTTGGGGTAGAAAAAAGGGAGTTTTTTGAGGATAAAAGGGGAATTTTTTGGGTAAAAAAAGGGAGATTTTTGAGGAAAACAAAATGAATTTTTTGGGGAAAAAAAGGGAGTTTTTTGGCTAGAAAAAAGGGAGTTTTTTGAGGAGAAAATGGGGATTTTTTGGGTAAAAAGGGGAGTTTTATCAGGATAAAAAAGGGAATTTTTTGGGTAAAAAAGGGAGATTTTTGAGGAAAATAAAATGAATTTTTTGGGAAAAAAAAGGGAATTTTTTGGCTAGAAAAAAGGGAGTTTTTTGAGGAAAAAATGGGGATTTTTTGGGTAAAAAAGGGAGTTTTTTGAGGAAAAAATGGGGATTTTTTGGGTAAAAAAGGGAGTTTTATCAGGGTAAAAAAGGGAGATTTTTGAGGAAAAGAAAATTAATTTTTTGGGAAAAAAGGGGAATTTTTTGGGTAGAAAAAAGGGAATTTTTTGAGGAGAAAATGGGGATTTTTTGGGTAAAAAAAGGGAGATTTTTTGAGGAAAAGAAAATGAATTTTTTTGGAGAAAAAAGGAATTTTTGGGGTTGAAAAAAGGGAGTTTTTTAAGGATAAAAGGGGAATTTTTTGGGTAAAAAAGGGAGTTTTATGAGGATAAAAAAGGGAATTTTTTGGGTAAAAAAGGGAGATTTTTGAGGAAAAGAAAATTAATTTTTTGGGAAAAAAGGGGAATTTTTTGGGTAGAAAAAGGAGTTTTTTGAGGATAAAAGGGGAATTTTTTGGGTAAAAAAAAGGGAGATTTTTGAGGAAAACAAAATGAATTTTTTGGGGAAAAAAAAGGGAATTTTTTGGCTAGAAAAAAAGGGAGTTTTTTGAGGAAAAAAGGTGATTTTTTTGGGTAAAAAAGGGAGATTTTTGAGGAAAATAAAATGAATTTTTTGGGAAAAAAAAGGGAATTTTTTGGCTAGAAAAAAAGGGAGTTTTTTGAGGAAAAAAGGTGATTTTTTTGGGTAAAAAAGGGAGATTTTTGAGGAAAATAAAATGAATTTTTTGGGAAAAAAAAGGGAATTTTTTGGCTAGAAAAAAAGGGAGTTTTTTGAGGAAAAAATGGGGATTTTTTGGGTAAAAAAGGGAGTTTTATCAGGTAAAAAAAGGTGAATTTTTGGTGTTTTTTTCAGGCGAGGTGGGGGAGGGGCGGGGCTGGGCGTGTCGCAGCTGCACCTTCCAGAACCCCTCCCCCAGCGTCCTGTGCCAGGTGTGCGAGCGCCCCCGGCTGGCCCGGAGGCCCCAGGTGAGAAATTCGGGGATTTTTGGACAAAAAATTAAAATTTTTGGGGAAAAATTAGGATTTTGGGGAAATTTGGATTTTTTTTGTAAAAAAATGATGAATTTTGGGTAAAAAGTGGGAATTTTTTAAAGGAAAATTCAAAATTTTGGGTAAAAAATGGGATTTTTTAAAGGAAAATTCAAAATTTCGGGGGAAAAATTAGGATTTTGGGAAAATTAGGATTTTTTTTTGTAAAAAAAAGGATGAATTTTGGGTAAAAAGTGGGAATTTTTTAAAGGAAAATTCAAAATTTTGGGGAAAAATTAGGATTTTTTTGTTAAAAAAATGATGAATTTTTGGTAAAAAGTGGGATTTTTTTTTAAGGGAAAATTCAAAATTTTGGGGGGAAAATTAAGGTTTTAAAAGGGAAAATGTTGATTTTTAGGGAAAAAATTGAAATTTGGGGAAGAAAATGGGAATTTTGGGAGAAAAATCCGATTTGAAAATTGTAATTTGGAGGGAAAAATGAATGAGCCTGAGAGGAAAAAAAAGAGGTTTATAGAGGAAGAAAAATTGGATTTTTTTGGGGAAAAAATTTGGAATTTTATGGAAAAAAAATTTGTTTTTTTTAACTCAAAAAAATGAGATTATGAGAGGAAAAAAATTGGAAATTTTAAGCAAGGATTAGAGTTTTTTAAGGAAAAATAGGAAATTTTTTTTTGGAAAAGGAAATTTTAGGTGAAATTTTTTAAAAAAAATTGGAACGTTGGAAGAGAAACAAAGAATTTAGAGAAAAAAATTGGAATATTTTGGACAAAAATAGGAAAATTTTGGGGTAAAAATTGCGAATTTCTTGGAGAAAAATTGGGATTTATTTGGAGTAAAGCATCAGGATTTTTTGGGGGGATTAAAGGGGATTTTTGGCAGAAAAAAATGGAATTTTGGAAAGAAAATGTGGAATTTTTAGGGGGAAAAATGGGAAATTTGGAGAAAAAAAATGGATTTGTTACTGAAAAATTGAATTTGGTGTGAGAATGTAAAAGAATTATGAGGTAAAAATCAGATTTTTGGAGGAAATTTTTGAGGTGAAGAAAAGGGATTTTGGTTAAAAAAGTTGAAATTTGTTCAGAGAAAATGGAAGTTTTTGGGGGACAAAAGGGAAATTTGGAGCAAATTTGGAGAAAAAAAATGGATTTGTTACTGAAAAATTGAATTTGGTGTGAGAATGTAAAAGAATTATGAGGTAAAAATCAGATTTTTGGAGGAAATTTTTGAGGTGAAGAAAAGGGATTTTGGTTAAAAAAGTTGAAATTTGTTCAGAGAAAATGGAAGTTTTTGGGGGACAAAAGGGAAATTTGGGGCAAAAAAAGGAATTTTGGGGAAAAATTGGGAATTTTCATTGTTAAAATTAAAATTTTAGGCAAAAAATCGGATTTTGTGATTTAAAAAATGAATTTGGGTGGCAAAAAGGGAAAATTTTGGGTGAAAAAATTGGGATTTTGGGTCAAATTTGTGAATTTTTGTGTCCCAGCCAAGCCCCGCCCCCGCCCAGCTGTGGCCCTGCCCCCGCTGCACCTTCCTGAACCGAGGCCACGCCCCCAAGTGTGAAATGTGCGGCTCTGACCACGCCCCCTTTGATGACGTCACTTCCGGGGTCGCCCCACCCGCCCACAGTGTTGTTTCTGCTACTTCCGGGTTTGGGGAGGCCACTTCCGGTTCAGGCCCCGCCTCTTCCGGTGGAACAACAACTGCTGGCGTGGACAAACCAACTTCCGGGTCTGCAGCGGTCACTTCCGGGTCTGCTGATGTCACTTCCGGCGCTGACAAAGCCACACCCAGCATTGCAAAATGCACTTCCGGTGTGGGAAATGCCACTTCCGGCGCCGGGAATTCTACTTCCGGTGTCGGCCATGACACTTCCGGTGGTGAAAATCCCACTGCTGGGGTGGGCAATTCCACTTCCGGATGTGCTGAGGTCACTTCCGGGGGTGACCCCACCCCTTCCCGTGATGCTTTGCGGCAGAGGAAGCTGCTGGAGGACGGGCGCCGCCTGGTGGAGCTCGTGAGGGTGAGGAGAATTTTGGGGGATTTTGGGAAAATTTCGGGAAAATTTTGGGAATTTTGAACAATTTTGGGGGGAAAATTTGGGTAAATTTGGAAAATTTGTGGAATTTTGATGGAATTTGCAAAAATTGGAGGGGATTTGAGGGAATTTTGGGGAAAATTTGGAGATAATTTGGAATTTTTCGGGAATTTTTGTGGAATTTTGGGTGGGATCTGAGGAGATTTTTGGGGAGAATTTGGGAAATTTTTTAGGAGTTTTTGGGAGAGATTTGAGGAGATTTTGGGGAAAATTTTTGGGGGAATTTTGGGGGATTTTGTGGAATTTTTTGGGAGAGATTTGAGGAGATTTTGGGGAAAATTTTGGGGGATTTTGGGGAATCTTTTGGGAGGGATTTGAGGAAATTTTCGGGAAAATTTTGGGGAAAATTTTGGGGGGTTTTTTGGGAGGGATTTGACGAAATTTTTGGGAAAATTTGGGGGATATTGGGGAATTTTTTGGGAGGGATTTGAGGAAAATTTTGGTGGATTTGGGGGAATTTTTTGGGAGAGATTTGAGGATTGGGGGATTTTGAGGAATTTTTTGGGAGGGATTTGAGAAAATTTTTTGGAAAATTTTGGGGGATTGTGGGGAATTTTTTGGGAGGAATTTGAGGAAAATTTTGGGGGATTTTGTGGCATTTTTTGGGAAAGATTTGAGGAAATTTTTGGGAAAATTTTGGGGATTTTGGGGAATTTTTGGGAGGGATTTGAGAAAATTTTTGGGAAAATTTTGGGGAATTTTTTGGGAGGGATTTTAGGGGATTTTTATGGAAAATTTCCTAAATTTACAGGTTTTTTAAGTCTCATAAATTTGGGGATTTTTCTTAAATTTTGGGAAATTCGGGCGTTTTTATGGAAATTTTTATAAATTTGGACAATTATGTCAAAAATTTCAACGAATTTGGGATTTTTAGACAAAATTTTGCCCAATTTTGGGATTTTTTCCGGAATTTTCTCTCCCCTCCCCCCAGGCCGCCGAATCCCAAGGCCTCCCCCCGGAATCCCTCGGCCCCGCCCCCTTTTCCCACTTTCCGGAACCTTCCGGCCCCGCCCCCAGCCCCGAATCCCAAATCCGGCACTTCCGGAGCCGCCTCGGGGGGGTCCTCAAGGCCCTCCTGGGGGCGGAGCCTGACGAAAAGGAGGGCGGGGCCTCCCTGGGGCCCTTCTCATTGGACGAAGCAGCCTGGGCGTGGCTGGAGGGGGAGGGGCAGCTGGACCGAGCGCGCCGCGCTCTGATTGGTCGGAGGAAGCAGCAGGTGAGAAGGGGCGGGGCTTGGAGGCTGGGTGGGGATTGTGGGCGGGGCTTAAAATTTGGGTTAAAAATGGTGGAATTTCGGTCCAAAATGGCGGAATTTGGGTCCAAAATGGCAGAATTTGGGCGCAAAATGGCGGATTTTGTGGGCGGGGCTTAAAATTTTGGCTTAAATTGTGAAAATTGGGTCAAAAAATGGCGGGAGTTGGGGGAGGGGCTTAAAATTTGAGTCCAAAATGGCGGAATTTGATGATTTTGGGGATTTTTACTGGTTTGTACTGGTTTGTACTGGTTCAAACCGGTCCATACTGGTTTATACTGGTTTGCACTGGTCCATACTGGTTGATACTGTTTAATACTTGTTTGCATTGGTCCAAACTGGTCCAAACTGGTCCAAACTGGTTTATACTGGTCCAAAAATATGCAAATTAGGAAGATTTCATTCAAAAATGGGGAATTTGGTGCATTTTACTGGTTTTTACTGGTTTGTACTGGTCCAAACTGGTTCAAACAGGTTTATACTGGTCCAAAAATATGCAAATTAGGCAGATTTTGACCAAAAATTCAGAATTTGGTGCATTTTACTGGTTTTTACTGGTTTGTACTGGTCCAAACTGGTCCATAGCAGTTTGTACTGGTCCATACTGGTCCAAACTGGTCCAAACTGGTTTCTACTGGTCCAAAATATGCAAATTAGGGAGATTTTGACCAAAAATGGGGAATTTGGTGCATTTTACTGGTTTATACTGGTTTATACTGGTTTATACTGGTTTATACTGGTCCAAACCTATGCAAATTAGGCAGATTTTGTCCAAACTGGGATTTCATGCATGAGAAAGGCACCAAAATGGGTCAAAAACGACCAAAAATGGGCAAAAAATGGTCCAAAATGGCCGAAATCAACCCGGATTTTTTCATACTGGTTTGGACTGGTTTGGACTGGTTTGGACCGGGCCAAACTGGTTTGTACTGGTTTATACTGGTTTGTACTGGTCCGTGCAGGTGCAGTGGGTGCTGAGCTCCCTCCTGAGGCTGAGCGTCCAGCAGGGGGCGTGAGACTGAACTGGTTTGGACTGGTTTGGACTGGTTTATACTGGTTTGAACTGGTTTGAACTGGTTTGGACTGGTTTGAACTGGTTTGAACTGGTTTATACTGGTTTGAACTGGTTTGAACTGGTTTGAACTGGTTTGGACTGGTTTGGACTGGTTTGAACTGGTTTGAACTGGTTTGAACTGGTTTATACTGGTTTAAACTGGTTTGGACTGGGAGGGACTGGGAGGGACTGGGAGGGACTGGGAGGGGGAGGGGAAATCTCAATTTTGGGGTAAAAAATTGGGAAATTTTGGGGTAAAAATGGGGAAAATTCGGGGATTTTGGGGTTAAAAAAATTGGGTTTTTTTGGGGGGAAATTTGGGGATTTTGGGGTTAAAAAATTGGGGATTTTTGGGGGGAAATTTGGAAAAAAAATTAGGCAGATTTTGACCAAAAATGGGGAATTTGGTGCATTTTACTGATTTTTACTGGTTTATACTGGATTATACTGGTGCAAACTGGTCCATACTGGTTTGTACTGGTCCATACTGGCCCAAACTGGTTCAAACTGGTTTCTACTGGTCCAAAATATGCAAATTAGGCAGATTTTGCCCAAAAATGGGGAATTTGGTGCATTTTACTGGTTTTTACTGGTTTGTACTGGTTTATACTGGTGCAAACTGGTCCATACTGGTTTGTACTGGTCCAAACTGGTTCAAACTGGTTTATACTGGTCCAAAAGTATGCAAATTAGGCAGATTTTGACCAAAAATGGGGAATTTGGTGCACTTTACTGGTTTTTACTGGTTTATACTGGTGTAAACCGGTCCATACTGGTTTGTACTGGTCCAAACTGGTTCAAACTGGTTTATACTGGTCCAAAAATATGCAAATTAGGCAGATTTTGACCAAAAACGGGGAATTTGGTGCATTTTACTGATTTTTACTGGTTTATACTGGATTATACTGGTGCAAACTGGTCCATACTGGTTTGTACTGGTCCATACTGGTCCAAACTGGTCCAAACTGGTTTCCACTGGCGCAGCTCCGCCTCCTGGCCAGCCTCGGTTTCCCCGACCCCGCCCCCGCGGCGGCGGCCCTGCAGCGGCAGCGGGGCAGCCACTGGGGGGCGCTGTGCGAGCTGCAGCGGCTCAGGCTCCGCCCCTTCCTCTTACGTCAGCAGCAGGGGGCGGAGCCGGGGCTGGACTTCAATCAGCCCGACCAGCAGGTGACTGGGTTATACTGGGAGGGACTGGGAGGGGGTTTGGGGTTACTGGTTTATACTGGTTTGTACTGGTTTGTACTGGGAGGGGGCTTGGGGTTACTGGGATGGACTGGGAGGGGGTTTGGGGGTAACTGGTTTGTACTGGTTTGTACTGGTTTGTACTGGGAGGGGGTTCGGGGTTACTGGAATGGACTGGGAGGGGATTCGGGGTTACTGGTTTATACTGGGATGAACTGGGAGGGATTTTGGCTTTACTGGTTTATACTGGGATGAACTGGGAGGGATTTTGGCTTTACTGGTTTATACTGGGATGAACTGGGAGGGGTTGTGCAGGGAATTTAGGGTTACTGGTTTATACTGGTTTGTACTGGGAGGGGGCTTGGGGTTACTGGGAGGGACTGGGAGGGGCTTTGGGGGTAACTGGCTTATACTGGTTTGTACTGGTTTGTACTGGTTTGTACTGGGAGGGGGTTTGGGGTTACTGGGAGGGACTGGGAGGGGCTTTGGGGGTAACTGGCTTATACTGGTTTGTACTGGTTTGTACTGGTTTGTACTGGGAGGGGGTTTGGGGTTACTGGGAGGGACTGGGAGGGGCTTTGGGGGTAACTGGCTTATACTGGTTTGTACTGGTTTGTACTGGTTTGTACTGGGAGGGGGTTTGGGGTTACTGGGAGGGACTGGGAGGGGCTTTGGGGGTAACTGGCTTATACTGGTTTGTACTGGTTTGTACTGGTTTGTACTGGGAGGGGGTTTGGGGTTACTGGGAGGGACTGGGAGGGGCTTTGGGGGTAACTGGCTTATACTGGTTTGTACTGGTTTGTACTGGTTTGTACTGGGAGGGGGTTTGGGGTTACTGGGAGGGACTGGGAGGGGCTTTGGGGGTAACTGGCTTATACTGGTTTGTACTGGTTTGTACTGGTTTGTACTGGGAGGGGGTTTGGGGTTACTGGGAGGGACTGGGAGGGGCTTTGGGGGTAACTGGCTTATACTGGTTTGTACTGGTTTGTACTGGTTTGTACTGGGAGGGGGTTTGGGGTTACTGGGAGGGACTGGGAGGGGCTTTGGGGGTAACTGGCTTATACTGGTTTGTACTGGTTTGTACTGGTTTGTACTGGGAGGGGGTTTGGGGTTACTGGGAGGGACTGGGAGGGGCTTTGGGGGTAACTGGCTTATACTGGTTTGTACTGGTTTGTACTGGTTTGTACTGGGAGGGGGTTTGGGGTTACTGGGAGGGACTGGGAGGGGCTTTGGGGGTAACTGGCTTATACTGGTTTGTACTGGTTTGTACTGGTTTGTACTGGGAGGGGGTTTGGGGTTACTGGGAGGGACTGGGAGGGGCTTTGGGGGTAACTGGCTTATACTGGTTTGTACTGGTTTGTACTGGTTTGTACTGGGAGGGGGTTTGGGGTTACTGGGAGGGACTGGGAGGGGCTTTGGGGGTAACTGGCTTATACTGGTTTGTACTGGTTTGTACTGGTTTGTACTGGGAGGGGGTTTGGGGTTACTGGGAGGGACTGGGAGGGGCTTTGGGGGTAACTGGCTTATACTGGTTTGTACTGGTTTGTACTGGTTTGTACTGG